CCCATGGCCCTTCACTACCCAAAAGAGTCTCAGAGCGGCTCACAAGCTCCTTTCCCTTCCCTTCCCCACAACAGACACCCTGTGAGGGAGGTGGGGCTGAGAGAGCTCTGACAGAAACTGCTCTTTTTCAACGACAGCTCTTATCAGAACTACAGCTTGCCCAAGGTCATCCAGCAGCTGCAAGTGGAGGAGTGGGGAATCAAACCCGGTTCTCCCAGATTAGAGTCCGCGCACTTAACCACTATGGCCAAACTGGCAAGCATTTGAAATCTCCCACCCTGGCCATAAGCAGGGATCGATGTCCAGTGTCCAGGAAGCTTGAGATGCCTGCCTAGTAGAATCAGATATGCAAACTATTAACGCATGCCGATTTCCTCTGGCTGCAAATTTCCGTTGACTCTTGGGCCCTGATGTTCGTGGTGGCCAAACAAAAGAAAACGCCTGCCACCAGGGGCCAGGGACCTCATGCCTCTCCGCCCTCTCTCCTCAGGACACCCCAGCACACCCCACCCCTGCGGCCTGCCGCCCCTCAGCAGCCGGCGCCCACCGGGTGCAAGGGACCTAGCCAATCTGTGCCCCCCAGTTACGCCGAACAGCTGCGCCTGGCCATGGAGCTGTCCGCGAAGGAGCAGGAAGAGGCGGAACGGCGCTCGCGGCAGGAAGAGGAGGACTTTGAACGGATCCTGCGCCTCTCGCTCACGGAACAATAGCAAATCTGCGTCGGTGCATGGGAAGGGGGACTTGTGCACAAACGCCAAGGGTTGACAAAGCTAATGGACCGTGCATCCGCCCCTCCCCCTCCACGCAGCCACTTGAAGAGCTAATGCACAGAAGCTGGGGGGGGGAGGAATGGGGGGGACGGCATCCCATCAGGGGGAAGGTCTTTTCCGGACCACCGTTGGGAAGGCACGCTTGGGTCCTGAGCCCTCTGCCAGCCCACTGCACAGAGCACGGGGGCTCAACAGGGAATCAGGGTGGGGAGGGGAGAGCGGGGTGGGGAGACACTAAATGCATTCCACCCCCCCTCCCAAAAAAGCAAACCACTGAGCCATTTAATAACCCCCTCTCTGCCTTTGGTAAGGGGAGGCAGGGAAGTCTTAATGAGCCTGAGCTTTGCGGTTAGCCCTGGCTTCACACCCATCCCACTTCTTGTGCTGGGGGGGGGTCACTGACAGTAGCCAGGAGGGTGGGAAGCTTGATCCACACCCCCACACCCCAACTTCCCCCTCTCTCTGCAGCCTCTGAGCCTAGATGGATGCGTTGGCTTCATCTTCCACCCAGGGCGGGCCAGCCTCCTGTCTCCGTACGTACTCCAGACCTTTAAGGCAGATTGTTATTTCTGCAGTTCTGTTTAGCTGCAGGGAAGGGCGTGGCGTGCGGCGTGACGGGGAAAATCCCCCCCCCCGCCTTTGTTTTTAAAAACAGGACCAAGCTTTCTGGTCCTGATGTCTGCAAAGATATCTTTGAAAGGAGCAGGGGGGGCAGGTGCAGCACCCAGAAACCAGACTTGTGGCTGAAAGAGGATGCCAAGACATCCACAGGTGGCTCTCAAGGTCTTTTAAAAGCGTAAATAGCCAGGGGTAGGAAAGAAGATGTGGGTCAGGCTGTGGTACGGAAGAGGGCCGGGTGTTTCAGCCGGTCTCCTGACCTCTTTGGTGCCACCCCCAGGAGAGGTACTATTAGCCCCATAGCAGGAAACATTGGAGCACCCGCATGGTCCTGGTCATATTCTGCTCACCTACCTGCCCTGTAGGGCTCAGGGACGGAGGATGTGCATTGGGGAAGGGCTACTCCTCCGTCCCCTGCCACAGCCCCAAGTAGGGTTGCCAACCTCCAGGTGGTGGCTGGAGATCATTGGGAAGCACAACTGGCCTCCAAGTCGTAGAGATCAGTTCCCCTGGAGAAAATGGCTGCTTCGGAAGCTGGTCTCCATGACGTGATTCCCTGCTGAAGTCCCCCCTCCCCAGGCTCCACCCACCCACCCCAAATCTCCAGGAATTTCCCAACCCAGAACGGGCCACCCTGGCCCCAAGGCATATCGGGCTTCCTCTCCTGGTGGCAGTTCACACTTTAATACACAGGGTCGGCAGGTCCGTTTCCAGGTCACCTGTTGCAAAGTCCATTTGGACCAGGAATTCATGGTACCATACATTATTCTTTCTCCTCCTCCTTCCCGACTATAAAAAGTAGAACAAACTGTGTCGAAGAGGCAACAGATTTGCATGCTTTATGCAGGGCGACGAGTCCGGGCAATTCGCTTTGCGAACCTTCGGGCCTCCTTTCTAGAATTCGGTTCTGGGTCCCTTTTGCCACCTGTCACGGGAGGGTCGCAGCCTCTGGCGGGAAAACCTCTCAGTGGGCTGCAGAGACTGTACTAACCCTGGCTAACTAATCGGCATGAATTATCCTGGGTAGAGACTCCAGAGGCAGAGGCCGTTCTGGATCAGCTGCCGGAGAGTACAGGAGGGCAGTCTTGCATTTGTGACCCCCCACCCCGCACCGGCTCCTATAGCACCAAGTGCACTTACCCCCCCCCCACTTCAGAAAACAAATCCCTGCCTACTCCCATCATTGCTAGGATCCGTTTTGCCACCTCCTGGTCTTCACCAGCGCTGCCCGAGTGCCAGTCCAAAGGAGCGCAGTGGTGCTCCAAACACGGGACCGGCGGGTACGCACGGAGTACCTTGCCTCAGCAGCTCAGGGCCAGAACTGTTTCCTACGGCTGTGCTGAGCACCTTGGGCAGGGAGGGGAGGGGGAAGGTTGCCCTCCGGAGCCTGCACCCCCTCCTCTTCCCCCCCCGCTCTCTCGCCAGGGTCTCGCGCATCACAGCTGGTTCCACGCTCTCTGCTTTGGAAGCACAAACCATACGCCACACTGTCTTCAGTGGGGAGCAGGAAGCCGGACGCAGCCCGATCCCACCCCTGCCCTTCCCTCCTGGGCACACCCCCATTTTCAGTGCCCTCTTCCGTCCTTGGTCAATGGTGCTATAACCTCCGACTGCCCCCTTCTCAAAACTTTGCCCCCAGGCCAGGCCGCACAAGGGAGACGGGGGTGAGGCTGGGGGAGCTACCTTTTGCCTCGAGTGCCGACGCCCCTCGGCCCACAAACACCTCCCCACGCCCTCCCCCCCCCCAAGGGGACAGAAATCTCTCGCACAGCTTGGGTGGCCTAGAACACAACCAGAGAATGTGGAAAGGGGGAGGGACGAAGGCTCGGGAGGTGGCCTTTTGGGGGGGGGTGGAGTAAGAAATGCACCTGCATCATGGGACAGGGTGGGGTGGGGGTACAACCAGTTCAGGTGTGAGACCTGCACAGAGACACCAATAAAAACCTCTTGAACCTTTGCAAGTCAGACCTCATTCGGGGTTGTGTGTGTGCCTGTGTCCGTCCCCCGTTCTGTTTTGGGACCAGGTTCCTACAGACGTTGAATGATCAAGGGGAGTGTGTTGTCCTGCCGCTCCCTCCCCATTGGGGCCCAATTTTTCTGGCAATGGGATTTCGCTTTCATGATGTTTTAGGGTGTGGTGTAGAGTCTGGGCCCTCTTTTCTTACACTCAGGTCTGTTTCACACTTGCCTGGTGGCCAGGGAAACCTGGCTCCAAGTGGCAACTGCAACAGGCTGCCTCTGAGTGACCGAAGCTGTGCGAGTTCATCTGCGGCCTGCCTGCCATTCCCGCATCTGCGTGAATCAACACCCCCCCCTCCTGTGCTTCTGAATCAATCAATCAGAACCTTTATTGGCAGGTCACTTCCGAATCAGTGCCAAGGTTCTAATCCGTATTGGTGATCTGGAGTCCAGAAAAGATTCTTAAGGGTACGGAGGCGTTGCTGGCAACCAAGATCAAGTTATTTCATGCCACAGCGTCCCCCCGTTACGACGTATGGGTGTGAGAGTGAGAAAAGAAAGCTGGCGGGAAGACAGTTGACTCATTTGAAATCCGGTGCTGGAAGAAAGTTTCATGGATGCCCTGGACCGCCAAAAAAAAAAAAAAAGTGGGTTCCAGATCAAACCAAGCCTCAACTCTCCCTAGAAGCTATAATGACTAAACTGAGGCTGTCGTACTTGGGTCACATGATGAGAAGATGAGGGACAAGATGATGATAATGCTAGGAGAAGTTGAAGGCAGCAGGGAAAGCGGGAGACCCCACCAATGCTCCCTCGACGCCGTGCAGCCCTGTGAGCAAAAACTCCACTTTGTGAGCTACTGTTGTTAAAGTGAGCGAGCCATTTGGCTGCTGCACGAATCAGTTTGCTCTGGAGCCCTCCTTCCTGAGCCAAGGCAAAAACGTGTGAGCTGGAGGCTAAAAAAACCTGTGAGCTAGCTCACACTAACTTGGCTTAGAGGGAACGCTGGTCACCCAACATGAGATGGATGGACTCTATAAAGGAAGCCGCTGCTCTGTAAGATCTGGACATTTTTTTGGGGGGGGACGTTGATTCGGAAGGTTGCCATAAGTTGGAAGCGGCCCAATGGGACTAGGGTTGCCAAGTTGAAAATTCGCCGCGGCGGGGGACTCCCGTCCGGCGACTCGTGCGTCCGGTGACTGGTGCGCGCGGAAGTGACGTTAGGACACTGGGCACGCTAGGGTGTGGGGCCACGACCACCCGAGGGAAAACCATAGAGTTTTCCCTCGGATGACCGTGGCCCCGCCCCCAGCGTGCCCGGCGTGGTTGCGTCACTTCCAGGTGATGCGCACGTTGGGGTGGGGTTCCCCCCGGGGCCCGATCCGCCAGCGGCAGGTAACGGGCCTCTGGGGCAGGGTTTTCCCCGCCCCCCGGGGGGACTTGGGGGGAATGGCAAGGACTCAAAAGCTGCAGGAAAGGGTGGGGTGAGTGTGCCTCGCTTGCCGCCCAGTTCATCATGGGGAACGGTGCTTTCCCAAAGTAGCTGTAGAAATGTTGGTGATAAAACCATCATCTTGAGACAAGACACAGGCGGAAGAGCAGGTGAACAAGTCTCTGTTAAATCGAAGACTGCAAGAAGATCACAGAGTTGAACGAGCCATTTTTTTTTAAATGCACGTATATTTAATCAGCAAATGCAAATGAGCTCCAGCCCGCCTTCCCATCTTCCCCAGCACCAGAGAGGTGACAACCTGGCAATGCAAGCATTGGGATGGGAGGGGGCCCCCTCTTTGGCCCAGATTTGCAAGCCATGGGTTTCCATTCCATGCGTGCACTCCTGTGGCCATGGTGAGGGCGAGAACACCTAGCCCCCTTCCCTACAGACAGCCTCCCACCCCGTGCACGTGTGGGGCACACACCCTCCAACAAGTGACAGCGCACAGGAGCGCCCGTGGATATTCTACAACCCAACAGGCCATCAGAGATCCAACAAACGTTCCTGTGCCCACCTGTAACACCCTCCCCGTCCGCATAGCTGGCCTGCTCCTCTCGCCCCTGGCCAATGAGTCCCTGCCTGCAGGGCCTGGATCCCGTCGCCCTCTCCCATCCTCCCCCCCACTTTCAAACGTAATTCAGTTCAAATACAAATGCCATAGGATCTACAGCTTCAACTTGTCCCCATCACTGCACCTCAAAACTCACACAAATGCATGGCATGAACCCCCCTCCCCAACCCGTTTCCGGTGCCGGGAAGAGAAAGAACGGGTTAGAGAGGGCTAGCAGGCTGACCTGCCCCCTATCCATGGGGGACTGGGCCCCTGGCTGGCCTCTTGAGGGGCTGGAGCAGGCTGTCCCCCCCCCACACACACACCCGAGAGCAGGTGTCCCAAAGATGGCCTGCGTCCTCTCTCCTGCAAGACCCAGCTTGTGCGAAGAACCCAAGACAGATTCCAAGCCAAGAAGGAGGGTGGGGAGGGGGGTGTCTTCATTTTCTGGGCAGAGAGAAAAATGACCCCCTCAAGGGCCATTCCCAGCAGGGGTCCCTACAAGTGTCCGTTGTGCCATGGATAAAGAAAGCCTTCGAGACGCCTGGAGGAAGATGCAGGGGTGGCAGAACCTGGGTCTCCAGAGGGGGGCGTGCCATGTGCTGCCGGAGGGCTCTAGTCCGTTCCGTTTGTGAACTGGCAGAGTTTGTTTTCCAGGTCGGAGATTCGCTTCTCGTGGGTCTGGACTGTTTGCCGCAAGGAGCGGATTTCCTCCAGCAGCTCCCCCAGGGCAGAGTTCTGCAAAGAGAGCGGGAGGCAAACTGCTGATCGACAGTTTTGGTCCTGACCTCACCCCCCACCTCACCCCCCAACCTGGTCAAGACCCCCCAATCTGGTCAAGAAAGCAATGGGGGGGGGGAGGATTCTAAAGCAAGCTCTTAAATCAACTTGCATTTTCCTAAATCAGCCCCCACCATCCCCCTCTAAATATAGGCTATTGATGGATATATAGGTCTTCTTTTAGGAATTCCAATGCAAACACTGATTTCTGGCAAACTGTCCCCGCGCCATGAAGACAACTCTATAAAAATAATCCCAACGTGAAATGTGAACTTTTTGATACTGAGTGAAAAAAATCGAGAAATTCTAGCACAGTCCAAATCTGCACAGAGTTTCGTTTCATTTCAGGTCTGCTTTACAAAGCAGCCCACCGGGCAGTTTGCACGCTGCTCTTGGAACAAAGGGTAGCTCAGGAACTCAGAAATCCACCCACCCCCCTTGTTAGAAAACCATTAAGGTCTTATGGGCAAGCCTAAACCATTAACATCCTCATTCTTCGATCAAGCCCATTAGTGTTAATTGAGCAGGATGAGCATGCCTGGAAGGCCATTGTGCCGTTACTGCCCCCAGTTGGCGATGCAGCCTTCCTTAATGCTGTTGCAGGGAGGATTCAAGGCCCCAGAGCCAACAGACCTGAGAAGCCTTCACGGCCACCAAATTCCCCCCCTCCACCACCAACCTCCCCATCCCCATGGATTAAGCAAGTGGATAAACTCACAGAAAAATTGGTGTCACAAGTGGACTGGCTCCGGCGTGGCCCTGTGGGGGGCCTACTGTCTAGGATGTTTTTCTTGGTGACTTTGAGCTCCCGGTTTTTGACAGGGACGTAGCCGTCACGCAGCGAGATCAGGATGGGCTCTGCCTCCTTGCCTGACAGCCATTCGTCCGCCTCTAGCGCTGGCTCGGGACCCGGCGTGTCAGGATACAGGTCGTCTTGGAAGAGGTCGGACTGGAGAAGGGATATGGGAAGAGGAGCAAAGGGGT